GCGCCCATTCTTCAGCCGGTAACGGTCCACCTGGGGTTTGATGTTCACCTTGTCCACAGCATTCTCATTGAGCCACTTCACGTCAATCTCCACATCAAAGTGTCCAATGTTACAAACAATAGCATCATCCTTCATCTGCTCGAAGTGCCGACCCAGAATAATGTCCACACAGCCTGTGGTGGTGACAAAGATGTTGCCCTCCTGACAGGCTTCATCCATAGTAGTGACCTCATAGCCTTCCATTGCAGCCTGCAGCGCATTGATGGGGTCGATCTCAGTGATGATGACACGGGCTCCGAAACCCCACAGGGCCTGGGCACAGCCCTTCCCCACATCACCATAACCTGCTACAACCGCGACCTTGCCTGCAATCATCACATCTGTGGCCCGTTTGATGCCATCTATGAGGGATTCCCGGCAGCCATAGAGGTTGTCAAACTTGCTCTTAGTGACAGAGTCATTGACATTGATGGCAGTCACCTTCAGGATCCCTTTGGCCATCATCTTGTACAGGTTGTGCACCCCAGTGGTGGTCTCCTCAGAAATGCCTCGGATGCCAGACAAAAGTTGTGGGTACTTAGTGTGAATAAGATTGGTAAGGTCACCGCCATCATCCAAGATCATGTTGAGGGGCCCATCCTTGAAGTAGAGAGTCTGCTTGATGCACCACAGGTACTCCTCATCTGTTTCACCCTTCCAGGCATACACGACTTTGTAGGGCAATTTGTCTGACATGCTGGCGACTATTCTGCACGCCGGGATGGACTCGGGCGAAGGCGGCCGGACCTCAAATAACGACCGGTACAGCCGGCGGCGCGGGGCAGGACACTCCAGATATTTTTAATAAGAGGTTCATGTCAAGCCAACAGGAGGTCATCAGTCAAATGATAATTTTCTAACAAAAACTTACATGATGTGAATATGTGCCTCTACATCTGGGGATACTTAGCCACAATAGAGATTTCCTCATGGCTCTTATGCTGCACTGCTATGTATGCCTCTTGATGTCAAATTTTCTCTGTAAAACTATATAACTATTGTCTGTTACCATTCTACAGGGACTTAACTACTGAACCATCCATGGTTGGTAAAAAATAACAGATTTCTGTCTATAGTTTATTTTTTCAAGGTGCTTAATACTCAAATAAAATTTTAATAATTAAATGTACTGCACCCACTACAATATAATGTCATTAACCTTCTTTTCTGGATGTTCAAATACTGAAGTACAGAGACCAAAAATTAGAAAGATAGATGGGCTAAGAGGATAACCAATATTTTGACCCTAACCCCCTAAGGTCAATGAAGATTCAAGACAACTCAGTTGAGCCCCTGATTTTCTGAACAAGAAGATTATGGAATCACAGAGGAAAGTGATTCTATATTGTATAGTGTGCCTTGGGAGAGTCACCAGGAAAAAATGTCTCCCAAACGTACACAAAAATCAGCTTGGTCAAGCAATGGCCATGACTATTCCTGATGGCTGACACTGACAAAAGTACTGAGAGGCACTATGCTTGGCTCCAAGTTAAATCCTGAGGAGATTAACTAGCCTTGATAGATAGCAAAGAGTTCGTTTTAATTCATACAGTTTCTCACTTCAACTTGATCTTAAACATCCAGGGGAAGAGTATAGGCACAAGATGTATAAAACTAGGCCCCGCCAACTTGGTCTTCAACATCCAGTCAAACGTATAGCCATAAAAAAGTATAGCCATAATATATATAAAACTACATCCAGTCTTCCCTAACCAGTTAACAGATTAAAACAAACAAACAAAAAATACCATCGTGGGTACATACAAAAAAACAAAGAAAAATGGTCCAATTGCCTGCTCTTGGTGGGGCTCTACTCTTGGCTCATGGGCCCCTATCATCCTTTCCATCCTAAGTCCTCAATATGCTCATTCTCTTGCTGCTCACAGCACCCTGTCTTTTTAAACATTTTTTTTCAAGTTTTCTCCAACCCAGGACACAGGCCTTCACCACCAGAGAGCTTCCTGTCTGACTGAGAGCCCTGGCACCAGCCTCTATAAGGTCCTGACCCACCATCCTGACAACTACAACAGCCCCCACTCCATGTCGCATCCCATCCGCAGAAAGTAGCTTGAAAGAGCTGTACCTTAACAACAAAAAAAGTGAGAATGACGTGCAGGCTGAAATAATTTATAGAATCTTCACATTTTTCCAAGTTTCACCCATCAAAAAACAGCCGAGCATCTTCCTGTGTTACTCCCTTTTTTATTCTACCCTATGTCAAAGTCATGATCCAGACAACAATAATAGTGTACTAACTTTTCTACCCTAACTTTCTCACACCCCTAGTAAGTTGTCACCATTTGTCAGCTATAATTCTATAAAAAGTAACGCTTTACCCCTCAAAAGTCTTAGCTAAATCTTGCATTCTTAGTAGTATAAGAAGGTATAGGTACCATGAATGACCTTCCTGATTAAGAACAATGAAAGTGGAGGGCAAAAATTTTTAAGAATATTTTAATGTACAACTCTACTCTCAGCAGGGAACACACTTCAGCACCACAGCTGTCATCACCAAGCACAGGATGTCCAAAGAAGATGAGATAGGACAAAGAATCTCACAGGTCCTGGGATGTCTGGGGACCTCTGGAGACACAAAAATTTACACTGCACCTTCAAGGACTTTTCCCACTGAGGCACAAGACAGCCAGAAAACTTTGACTACAGATGTTTATTAAAATCTTCCCACTTAATATCCCCTCCCTTTTTCCATCCCTATAAAAGGGAACCACTTGTCTTTGTTCCTACAGAAGGCTTGCTCACTTTCTGTCTGCCTGCACCAAGGCACAATAAATTGCATGTCATGTTACCTTTACACCAGCCTGGTGGTCTTTCCTGTGTGATACATCTAAAACTTATTGTTGGGAAGAAGATAAGAAATCTAAAAAGGCCCCAAAGTGCAAATTTAATGCACAGTTCCAGACAAGAAATAATTGCCTGAAAGTGTCCTTTACCTTAACAGAATCTGGCAAATCTTGGTGAACAGGACCTTCTGTTTCAATGGCTACAAGGACAAGACAGAGCCTGTGTTTGCTGGGGTCATCATGTGAGGTCTGCTCCTATAGCTGGTATCTGACATGGCCTTATGCTTAATGCTGAGGTAGGCAAGAGGCAAACATTCATCAGAATAAGACAACAAGGGACGATGTCTTCCTGGACTGGAAGTTGAGAAAATCTTGGAGAACTTACCATCCATCACCAGCTTTCAGGCAGTTTTAGTACAGCACAGGTGGCTTGGTTCCTCGCTACGTGCGTGGTTCTAAAAGCTGAGGATTCAACTGAATGCCCCTGCCCTAGAGAGACTCATGGACAGCAGACCCAGTTTGTTCCACAATGTCTCTAACAACCTATGTAAAGTTTCAAAGGCCCTGAGCTCACAGAAAGGCAATTAGAAAACACATAACAGAAAAAGGCATTACTAATCAATGTCACAAAAACATGACACCAGAATTGTATGGTTCAACAAATAATTCAGATATTTCACTTATTGGTCATAGACTATAGCATACGTGTGTTCTTACCTTAGAGGAGTAAGAGAGGCTTGAAGACAAGAGCAATGAAACTGACCAAAAAAATGCTTGGTTACATTTGGGGAAAAGAGATTGAAGTTATGTGCTATAAAAATAAAATAACAAAATCAAACACTTAGAAAACAGGTTAAACAACAGTTAAAGAAAATATTATTAAGGGCCAGCCAGATAGCTCAGCAGATTAAAGCACCTGCTTAGGCAGAACACAGGGACCAGAGTTCAATCCCCAGTATGCCATGCCAGACCCACCCCTGGGGCACATTGAGACGCAATTGACACTGGGAGTAGTGGTGCACACCTGTAATCCCAGCGCTTGGAAGGCTGAAAACAGGAGGACCACTACAAGTCCGATCTGTGTAGTGAGACCCTGTAGACCCTGCACTAAATTATTTTTTAAAAAGGAAAATATTAAACTACAAGGTGGATTTGAAGCCAAGGATGAAATGGAACCCAGAGAGAGAAAGAAATGAAAAATTAAGAAGACATGTTAAGAGACACAAAAATTTAAAAATATAAAATATATCTATTCAGAGTCCCAGAGAAGATAATGGGGGGAACACAGAAGATAAAAGATACAAAGAAATTCAGATGGGTGACTGTGATGAGACAGGGGTGAGACAGAAGGCCGGGGTGACAAATGCCTGGGTGCAGTAAACTCTCCCCTCTATGGCATGGTGTGCTCCAGCAGACCCACCATGAGACCCTGGAGAAACCACAGAAGCAGGATGTGTGCATGGAATGAGAAGCTTTGCCAAAGAAACTTCTGATTAAGCCCACTGACTTCACTTGGCTTGGTAAATTTAATATCACAAATTGTGGATGTCACACAGCTGGGGGATGTGTTGTGTGCTCCCCACCAGCTTTGCTGCAGAGCTCTCTGACTTGTGGGCTATAAGAAAATTTGCCTGGGGTCCTTTCTTCTGGATCTCTGGAGGTTGTTTTTGCTAAGAACATTGACTGACCCAGAACTTGAGCTTTCTGAGACCAGTGCAAATTACTGGACTTTAACTCACCTCAGCAAATCCAAATCTCACTTCTTCCTTTGTTCTATAAACAACCTGGTTCCCATTTGCTTGTTCAACACTATCTGCCTTCTGCTGACGTCCCAATTCAAGTTTCGCTTGCCTGTGTAGGCATTTGCAGTTCTTGGCTTGGTCTGGTTTCCGTTGCTTCCAGATCCTGTCCATAATATACCCTCCATGTAAAGCTAAAATCAGACCTGACTCTCCCCGCCCTCAACCTGCTTGCCAGTAGAGTCATGATTCCCAGTAGAACTCTGCTCAACACTGAAATTGTGATCAGCAGACATAGGATATTATAAAAGAGATAAATAGGACAAGGAAACTTACAGGTCCCTGGACATCTGGAGACACTCAAAAATTTACATCGAACCCTCAAAGATTTTGCCCACTGAGATGCAAGACAGCCCGAAAACTTTGACCACAGATGTTTACTAAAATCTTCCCACCTCATGTCCCCTGCCTTCTTCAGTCCCTATTAAAGAGGCCTACTTGTCTCTGATCCCTTCAGATGGCCTTTTTCACCCCCTGTCTGTCTGTACCCGGCACAATAAATTCCATGCCTTTACACAAGCTTGGTGGTAGTCTGGGCTGGTCTCTGCCTCTCGTAGTTCTTACGCGGTATGTTGCTTCCTTTTTCTCTCCTTGGTCACTCTTCCCTATCCTACACCTCCAGGTCCACAAGGGTGGAATAAAGCTGCCCCTGTCCAGAAGAGCTCACTTCCCGGTGAGATGTCAGAGAGAAAACAACCTAGTCAGTACAGCCAGTGGCTTGAGATTTGGCACGCAAGGACTCAGAACACCCCAGTTCTCTTCCCCATCTGCTGAGTTAGGCTATAGAGGGGTCTCAGAAGGTGACTTCAATATGAAGGACCCAGAGCTACCCCAAGGGCTGAGCAGGGGAAGGACAAGAATCCATGAGGCCACTGGAGATGGAGGTCAGTATTAGAAGCCCTCTTTTCACCACCAGTTCACTTCAGATTCACACAGCCCAAAGAAAAAAAGCATCATGGTGGAAATGTCTGAACATGTTTTTATTCTCAGTTGCTCAGCTCAGTCAAACTTACTCATGTGGCAGCCCTTAGGCTCCTAGTGTACCACGCAGCAATCCTTGGCCA